ATTTCATACTCGTTATTATACGCCAAAAACCGGCCAATTTAGCTTTGGCCGATAGTCGCAAAAATAAGGGTGGAGGATTTCAGGACAGTGGAAAAGAGAATAAAGAAATGTATTTTCATCTTCACAATAAATATCACTGTATTTAAATAATACAGTGATATTTTAAAAACATACAGATAGAAAAATATCGTTAAACCAGTATTTGAGTGAGAAAAAGTCGTTTACACTATTTGAAATTAATTAATATGTATTAAACAGATGTAGCTAGTCACTACTTGAAAAGTTTCACCAAATATAATATTGTATTATTTAACACGTGCTCATTACCAGACATTACCTTTACCAAGCCATCTGCAAAATGAAAGCAAAATCAATTATTGATCAAAATACTTTGACCATATAAAAGGGTATTTTTGTCTAAAACGCAATAAGATATACTCATAAAATAAGTTTTTTATTAATTACCCAATTTAAAATATGTTATAAAAGAAAAATGAGTTGGAAACACAGAAGCAGAAGGTGCCAAAATTGAGTTAGCACTTAGTAACATACAGGTGCGTTGCCAGTTTGACTACAAAACGACACGTTTCAGGGACAGAACCGCAACCCGAATATACCCAAATGCCCCCCTGGTCCAGATTCTCACGGTCTCACACAACCACCTCACCACCCCTCTTTTTATTATATATCAACGGCTTATAAAACTCTACCTCTACCCAGCATCTAATCCAACGCTCCATATCACTCCTCTCCATAAACAACCAAACAACAATATACTACTAGGGTTTTCATTTCCTCGTATTCATTCCAAAGTAAGCCACTATTTTTACTTTCCTCTCATTTTCTTTTCCATTTTCTCGGGAAAATCATGGGGAAAGGCCCTGGTCTCTACTCTGATATCGGCAAGAAAGCCCGAGGTAACCGATTTTCAATCAATATCTTTTTATAACATTTAATTGGTTTTTCTTTTATTTCATTTTTTTTTTTTTTCATTTTGTAGATCTTCTCTATAAGGATTATCAGAGCGACCACAAGTTCACTGTCACTACTTACACTTCCACTGGAGTCGTGAGTTTTTTTTTTTTTTTAAAGATAAATTTTGCTATTGTTTTTATCGTTTTTTTCCCGAGGAAAGGGAGGAAGGAAAATAACAGGAATCAAAATAAAATTACGAGTCTGTTTAGTTGGTGTAAAATAATGATATATGTCTGTAACGCATTGCAGGCGATAACATCAAGTGGGATTAAGAAAGGTGAGTTTTTTTTGGCTGACGTCAGCACTCAGCTGAAGAACAAGAACATCACAACTGATGTCAAAGTGGACACTAACTCAAATGTAAGTCTTATCTTGATAGTGGACTATCAATTGGTTTTACCAAAGTAGTTGTTGTCATTAATCTGTCTCTTGCATCTCAGCGGCATTTTATATCTGTCTGCAGTTTTAGCATCTTAAGTAGCTCTTGTATACCAAAATTGAAGCAATTTTAGTGTAAGGTAGTTTAATGTATGAATTTTTGTGCGCTGGAGTTGATTTTATAGGGAAAAAAAAGGGGGTGAATGATCTTTGTTGGTTTTGAATTTATTACATGGTCAATAGACTTAATACAGCTCTGCCTTTGTATGATTATGATGAATTCATGATTTGCTTGTTTTCGGATTTGGATTTGAGGTTATGGAAGCACATGGGATTCTTCTCACCTATCAAATAGTTCTTGAGTTTGGTACAACTAATCCAATATGTTAGACTATGAGGAGGACACTTCTGATTGCTTGTTTCCCTCTTTTTTGAAAGACTTTCTCTCCTGGCATTTTATATGTATCTATATGAATTATGCCTTCATTTCACTATGCAATAATGGGTATCCATTCCTTGTCATATGATACTTAGATTTATTATTTTTGGCTGTAGCTTTCCACAACCATCACTGTCGATGAACCTGCACCTGGACTCAAGTCAATCTTTAGCTTTATAGTTCCTGATCAGAGATCTGGCAAGGTAAGAGATATCTTTTAACTGTTTTCTTTGTCAATTATATTTGTTTTCTTGCCTTCGTCTTTGAATATTTTGGTTCTATGTACAACTAACTTACAGTGCTTCATTCATGTGACTTTATATGTACATCAATGGGCTCAATGATGTAGTTGTTCATTGTTGGTTGATGATCTGATTCATGGTTATTATGGTGGCACAGGTTGAACTCCAGTACCAGCATGAGTATGCTGGAATAAGCACTGGCATTGGTTTGACTGCCAGTCCCATTGTTAACTTCTCTGGTGTGATTGGAAACAATACTGTCTCTGTTGGAACCGATCTTGCATTTGACACTGCCAGTGGAAACTTTACCAAGTGCAATGCAGGGTTGAGTTATACCAATACCGACCTTATTGCGTCCTTGACATTGTGAGTATCTCTTTCTGCATAAAGCAATTCTTTTCCATATTTTTGACGGTTTATATTGTCATATTAACTCTTTTAACTGTCCAGATGGAGACATTTACTGGAAATCAATTGCTTTAAATTGTTTTAGTTTAACTTATCTGAGCCAAATACTGTTTGTTTTTGTGCCTGAAAACATCTTCCTGTTGTATTGGATCATACAATGAGTCAAGACCTTTTTTTCTTCGCATTAGAGAAGTGTTTAGTGGTTTGATAAAGAACTTATGTTGGAGCATATAGGTTAAAATCTTATTTATTTTAAAATTTAGTGTCGTCTGCTACTTTTCACTGTATGTCATCTTCATTCTCTGTTTATAATGTTGTTTTGATTGACGAGTGCAGGAATGACAAAGGTGATACTCTTAATGCTTCCTACTATCACATTGTAAGCCCACTGACCAATACAGCTGTTGGAGCGGAACTGACCCATGGCTTTTCAAGCAATGAAAACACGCTGACAATTGGTACTCAGCATGCACTTGACCCATTGACCTCAGTGAAGGCCCGTGTGAACAACTATGGCAGAGCAAGCGCCCTCATCCAGCATGAGTGGCGCCCAAAATCTCTTTTTACTATCTCAGGAGAGGTGGACACCAGGGCAATTGAAAAGAGCGCTAAGATTGGACTGGCCTTGGCACTCAAACCATAGACTAGATAAAAATTCTTGGTATGAGGGTAGGAGCAACCTTGCCTTTGAGTTGTGGAAAACAATAATGTTAGGTAGAAGGAAGACGCAAATTTTTTTTGTTCTCATGAACTGATGTCATCATGTGATGTTGTTGGCTTTCACGAATGTTGTGGCTATGGGTTGTAAAATAATACTGGCTGGTGTATCGAACCAACATTATCAATTTTTATTTGAATCTGCCCATCTCACCCCGAATGGAGGTTGTACTTGCTTTGAGCTATATTTTCCATATGGAAATTTTCGGCTTTTTATCTCAAGTAGACGTCACAATTTCTTGTGACAGCCATCCCCATCGTGGGGTAGTTAATCCTTTTTGTTAGTAGGCGGCTCTCAGTGTTTCAGCCATGTCAAGCCGTTTTAGTGATTAGGGTCATTGGGTACTGGGTAGTAGGCCTAATTGGAATGTTGAATTCTGTTTGAGCAACACTCACGAGCTCGTTTATTTTGCTAACAAAGCCCTTCTACGCTACATATTTTTAAGTGTGTAAGTTTTTAATTTTATGAAAATGATGACATAATTACCTTAAGTTTTATTTTTGTTTTTCCTTTTATTTTACAAATATAAAAAATATATGATTCTTGACAAAGGACATATGAAAACACTAATGCATTTGGTTCAGGGAATATTGTATTATTGAAAATGTTATATTAATGAAAAGATAAATTACCTTGAATATTATTAAGAATGTTTAACGAAATGTGTTTGGTTAATTGGAATAAATTGATGGATATGTTATTTAAATTATTGAATTGCTCTCTTATTAAATATTATTATTTAGATTATTAAATATAACCCCTTTCATTTAAAAACTTAGTAAAAACAATCCCGTAATAAAAGTTTAGAAATCAACGAGTGCACCCTCACCAACCCAGCCATTGCCAACCATTGGCAATCTAATGGCACACGGTCAGTTGAAAATAGTCTTCGTGCGTCGATCTAGTCAGAAAACGGTCAAATCTAATTTGGTCATTTCCGAAACTGGCCTAGATCTAGCCTAGAAATGGCCAAAATATATCTGGCCATTTCCGGCTAGATCTACAACCATGTCGATGACCAACAGTGGTGGCTGGATGACGGTGGTGGTGGTCTACAATTTGTTTTAAATATAAAGACATTATTGTCTAAAAACTTAATTAAACAAAGGTAAAATTGTAATGATAGATTAATGTAAATTGTTTTTAAAATAAGAGTATTATTATCATAAAATTTTATTAATAAAAGATCAAATTGTAACAAAAAAAAAAAATTTGTCAAATAATAAAAAATTATCGAAATCTTATATTACTTAACAATCAAACGTAATAATCAAGTAATATAAAATGACTTTACTTCAATAATTCTATATAACCCCCAACCATACACATCATAAGTTTTGGGATGTTTAGCGTCTATGATCACTTATAATCATACATCCAAAAAAAAATAACAGAACACTTCTTTTAAACAAGTATCATAGTCTCCCAAATAGGTAAAAATAAAAATCTCTCTTTTACAGTAAAAACAGTGTCAAATGTTATAGTCAAACACTGTAGCTTCAATCATTTCCGGGTAGATATATAATGTAACTGCATTGCTCAATGACAGTCAAAACATAATTTGAACAGAAAAAAAAAAAAAAAAAGTGTCAGTTTCTTGAGTTACAGAGGTGTAAATACTAAATAGCAATAACCCATCTCCAGCTATAAACAGTCCATGAATGACCCCAATCGCATTCAATCATATCCACAACTTTTCCAACAAAACACCACACTTAAAATTTGTCTTTTAATATTTTTACAAAACAAAATTAACGACTACTACACACGTTAACCTTATTGTATCCTATACCACTCTTTACTTGTATCGCAATATACCACAAAGTAAAATAAAATTCTACGAAAATTCAACCAAACTTAACTTATTATCATCAATTTTTTACTCAGACAAACATATTGCCTGATTAGAACACTACTGAGTCGTAGCACTGGCCTGAAGGAGACCTTCTCTTATCTGTGATGCAATGTCCTTCACAGCACCGGGTCCATGTGGGATGAAAACAGAGTTTGACTTTGAGGATGCACCGATTTCCTTCATGGTATCAAAATATTGAGTGACTAGAACCATGTCCATGACATCCTTTGACGTTGTGCCTGGTACATTCACAGAAAAGGCTAGCACACTGTCCCTTAGCCCATCAACAATCGCCTGCCGCTGACGAGCAATACCAAGCCCTGCCAAATACTTTGATTCTGCATCTCCCTCAGCACGCTTGATTTGCAGTATTTTCTCTGCCTCAGCTTTCTCGTTTGCAGCCAACCTCATCCTGGCAGCTATTTATCACAAGTAAAGATGTATGTCAAACATTCTTCTCAATCATCCCAGAAAGCTTGCAAGAATTGATTAAACTTTCCGAACTGTAAAAATCTCTATAAACTAACCGTGAATTGAACCAATACATTCTTGGCTTAAAAAATAAAAAAGGAAAAAAGAGCAACACATATTACAATTCCCAAAGAGATCCAAGTCATACCTGCATTGATTTCATTCATTGCTCTCTTTACATGCTCATCAGGTTCAATGTCCACAATAAGAGTTTGAACTATCTCGTATCCATAATGTGACATGGCCTACATATACATACAGAATTGAAATAAATGTCATTGTTTAAGTTTGAGTGATTTGGTGAATGCTAAACTATATAGACAATAACAAAAAATACCTTCTCTAGTTCTTCTTCCACAGCTTTTGCTATGTCATTTTTCTGTTCAAAGGTTGCATCCAGGTCCAGCTTTGGAACACTTGCCCTAATAACTACAGCAGAAACATGGGAATTTAGTTCCTCCAACAAACTATGATCCAACAACATATCATACAACTGTCTCTAAGGTATAGCATAAGTTCTCAGAACAAAGTTCAAACAGGCATGGCCAAGAAACGAATCATTTTCAATTACTTCATAATTTCAAGAAACGTTGTTCTTTATTCAAACTTAATTATCTACCAAAAGAATTAAGACCACAAGTAAATGGTTCACCAATCACTAGAAATTAATAATGAGATGAAATCGACAGAAATAGACTAGAATTCCTCCCTACATCCGTTATGAAGCCGCATCTATCCAATCTAAAGAATCCTCTTAAGCTTTAAAGATAACATCAACACAAGTCCAAGCAAAACACAGGATCTATATAGTCCAATAGGGATGAAAATTTCAGTTTCTCAAAACTAAACCACCTTTAAGTCCCAAGCTAGCATAACATACCACAAAAAATAAATATTGCATATGTAACTATTTCCAAGTCTATCAAAATATGAAATATTAACACAATTTAATGCAGAACCGAATCATTCTAATTACTTCAAAAGAAAAAGACAAAGTAACATAATGTATAAAAAGGAGGAATAAAGTGCTCAAAAGTATGTACAAATCCAGTGCAGAAAAATAATGTGTTAACCATGTATAGCGCAAGGGAACAAGAGAATACCAACCATACAGAAATAATTCAGGACACAACTAAAGCAAGATAAAATGGATACCCAGTTATCCAAGGCAAACGATGAAACAATAAAAAGAATTGGATCTGAACCATGTCAAACATTCATACCATCAAAGACATAGGCTTGTATCTGTGATCTGGTATTGCTGAGCCTGTAGAAAGCATCTGAAGCTTTATCAGCCAAGGCTCTGTACTGAATGGATGCAACCACATTAACAAACACATTGTCCTGAAAAAATGCCAAATATCTCAACCTGGTTATAATTCCACCTTGAAACATATAAATGATTTCAAATATAAATGATCAGTAGTACTACACACAAACAAGATTTCTTTTAAATGATACAATTTCTATTTAGGGAAAAAAACTTGTCTTGAATGCTATTACCCTCCTTTTTTTTTTCCAAATCATTCAAATTTCATATGAATTACCAATGAAATTGAAACTGAAATCCTATGTCGTAGTACTATGACATGGCTCAAGCAACAATGTACTCCTCCCATATTTCCAAGTAGCTAAGCATAAATCTTGAAATTAACAATGATGAAGATGGAAATTAAAACAAAGGAGTAAATAAAATTTAAACTTCTACCCTGGTGATAATTGATTATATGCATCAAACCTTGGTTTTTGTTTCACATCGAACATCGAGCTGTTGTACACGTAAAGTAAGGTGACCAGCGACCTGGCTCCCCAAACACCAAGGCAGACAGTGACAACCAGGTTCAAGCACATCATCAAACTTCCCAAAAGTTTCTTTGATAGCAACAGTGGACTGGTCCACTTGAATACAACCCAAAGCTTGTCCCATTTCTTAATTCTAACAAAGAAACAAACATGAAAATCAATAATAATCTAGCAAGCATTTCCTGAAAGAACAAGCAATTAAAACTTAATGAATATAGTCCCTGTAAGACTAGATATAGCCCTCCTGGAAGGCCAGTCATTCCCAACTATATCTTAAATATGCACCTTCAAAACTCAAATCAAACTTCTATGTCACAGGTTGAACAAAAAGCATAAAGAATGTGATGACAAAGAGCAATGAATAGCTTACCATGTAAAAGTAAAACCAACATAATATATTGCTAGTCAATTACCCATACAAATAGGCTTGTCCAAGTAGAACCTATCTCAGAACTACTATCGATTTACAAAACAACTACCTACCAAACAGCCTAGCCATATAGTGGTTGATGATATATATCTATATTCAGATTATTTTTTCTAGCTATAACAACATACCAAGATATTTTAAGAGCACGCCAAACTATGAACTCAGCAACCAGCGAAAGAATCGACAACTCATTAAAAAAGCTGAGTCCTTCATAGTTCTTTGTAACAGTAAGCATGTACCATGACAATTTCTAGATTCCCTCAACAAGGTGCCAACTGGCAAGGTTTACAAAAAATAAATAAAGTTGACAAAACCAGAATGAATAACAAAATGGAAAAGAAAATTGTTTATTTGATTAAACGTCTTGATTTTGACAAGTACAAAGTTACGGAATAGCAGGCAAATACAACTGAACCAACTTATTGTACACAAATATATATATATATATAACTTGACTTAAAAAATAAATAAAAAAAACACTCAAAACAACTTTTCAACACTAAACTGTCAGCCATCTTCATGTTGTAAAGAGTAACAGATTTTTTAATCTACAATAAGGCAATAATTGATTTGTATACAGCTCATAGCGACTAATTCAAAATTCATGATAATAAAACATTACAAAATCAACAAAATCATAGAGTGAATCAGAACGACATATATAGAAAAACAAAAAAAAGTTCATTACGCACTCTCTGTATGAACTATTCTTATCCAAGATTCAAACAAGAAAACATATAATTCATACACGAATCAATCAATAATCACGTAAATTACATTAACGACAAAAAATACATAAAAAATTTTCTGCAATTTAAAGAAAACTAAAACTAATACGGCGAGTCTTGTACAAGAAACTACCGGAAACGATCTGAAATCATACTCGATAAATTCTCGCAACAATGCAAAGATTCAAAATCAGAAAAACAAACTACATCCTACTTCGAACTCGTACATGTAAACCCTAACTGACATTTAGGCGTCTTATTATACCAATTGTTCACATAAAAATATTCTGCCTTACCAAAAACGCTGAAGTGAAAGAAGCCTGCTGGTTCTGAAAGTGCGGGTCAGAAGAGAATCATATAAAAAGCATGGTATGCGCGTGTATTTATATAGGCAAGCGCGTGCGTGTGTATCTTCTATGGAAGGAGCAGAGAAATTACGAGGAATAGAAGACCAATTTATCTTTTCTTTATTAATAATAATGTAATTTTATTGTCTTTTTCAGTTTTTTATAATTCTATCTCTCCCCTCTCCAAACTAAACGGTACGTTCATTTTAGGGTTTTATTTATTATTATCTTTATTGTTTAATATATTCTTAAAATAGAATTGATTAATGTTGGTTTGTTTTGGTTGATTTTTCAACTTGATAAGGTTGTTTGATATTTATTTCTCTTTTTTTGTAAATAATAATTTTATTTGTTTTATTGATATTGAAATCCCTAAAAAACTTGGATCTTCTCCCACCACGTTACTTCTTTTTTAAGCCTAATAAAATCATTCATTAATTAAATTAATTAGATTGATGTGTGAGAATTGTGATCTGTCTAACGATGACAGTTACAGCAAGGATAGAGGTGGGTATTATCATTCACACCCATAAATAAAGATGATGTAACGCACTAACCCGATCCCCAAATAGGATAATTTTGAAACGAGGTGGAAATTATCAAGAACGGAGATCTCTGGAAATGGCAATTTTACCCTATATGTTTCTTATTAGAATCTCGGCATATAGTCGAAGGCCTTGACACCTCTTTCTCGAGTACAAGGGTTATACCACCATCCTCTATTCTCTATTAATTGCGAAGATATGTACGGTTTTAAAAACTAATATATATTGATATTATGATGTCATTTGATTGGATAGTTCATGAAAAAAGATACATAGACATTATAAGTTAAACAGGTGACATTATTTATTTAAGTTTTTTTATTGAAATTCCTTGCATAAGATCTTTTACTGGCGGAACCAGAAATTTTTTTCTGAGGGGGCCAGATAATGTTTAGTGAATGACAGGGTCAGAAAGTAATTAGGAAGTTGCACTTAGAGGGGTTAAAGTGTTATGTTCAAACTTTTGGGTAGCTAGAAAATTTGTAAGGTGTAAAATGATACTTTTTCATGAAAAATTAAAAAAAAAAAAAATCTGGAGCCTGTTTTATTATAGTAAAAAAAAAAAAAAAAAATTCCTGTTGAGGTCAAACCTCTATTAGAAACGTCGTATTATTGATCCCACAACTAGACAACAATTTTTAATAATAATGCCAAAATCAAAATAAGAGTGATATTTAAATTAGAGTAAACCACATATTCCCACCCAAGGTTTGATGAAACCCTAGTTAGTACCCAAAGTTACACTTATTCTAGATTTTCATCCTTAAAATAATACTGTTAGCAATTTTTAGGGTATAGAGAGTGCAATTATCATAATGCCCTTAACCCTACATTAATAAATTATGTTTTAACCCTTAAATTAGTAGAATTATAACTTACCATTTTATTTTAAAATTATCTCAATAACACCCTCGGTCACTACACACCCTCTCGATTTTTGCCCGATTTGGGCTGTTTCTGACGACGACAAACCCCCTCATCACCTCCATCACCTTCCCCGTAGTTTTTCGTCCAAAACCCCTCTAGTTCCCGACTCATTGGCCCCTCCAATCGCTAGCGCCGTTTGGCTTAGGGTTTCTCTATTCTTTGCCGAATTTCGATTGATTCCGGCGGTGAAAATCCAATTGGACACCACCACTGCAACTAACGTCTCTAACTCTATAACATCTCTATATCTCCAACAACCGTTTAGTCACTGTTCGCAGGTCGAGAGTTCGTGTTCATCGGCCCTTTTTTGCTGAAGTGGTGGACGACAAATGGTGAGTTGTCGTGGCTGGGAAGGTTAAGGGTTTTGTAGGGGAGGGTGTAAGGAGTCAAATGGTGGTGGTGGTGCCAGAAACTGGCAAAAACCAGTCGCATGTCACGGCTGTTGTGGCCGACGATCGGCGAGTGATGAGGGGTTGTGAAGGGTAAGGTTTTATAGAGAAGAGGATGGGGGTTCAAATGGTGATGACAAGGGTGATTTTGGGTGAAAGAATTGCTGAAAAAGGGCGAAAAAAGTCAGAGACGCCGTCTACTAACATGCGTTGGAGGACTGTTAAAGGCGGCGATCTGCTAACATGTGTCGTCCATGCAAAATGACCAATTTACTCTTTTACTGTTACATCAAATACTTTTCCGTCACTTTAAGGGTGGAAAACTAAAATAAATGTAATCAAGGGTAACCATCGGGAATTCGTCAAATCTTAGGTGGGAATGTGTCGTTTACTCTTTAAATTATAACAGTTAGCGGGCTTGGGGTCCTAACCCCTGATATGGACTTTCCTTTACCATTTTCCATTGCTGATTGGACGGAGCAAATTATTAAAAACCACACGTTGTTTGACAAACTCCATTTCCATGGCACTTGCACAATTTCTTCATTCCTACGCCGTTGAAAATCATTTCATTGCTTCATTTGAAACTTTCATTTTCTTTCATTTTTGGTCTCATTTATATACTTTTCAAACTTCAGCATCATTGTCCCACTTTCCTACTAAAATTTTGATTTTTCAATTTAAAATTCCATCCATCCTTATATACATCCCACTTAATTTTTGGCATTTACCCATTAAAATCTAGCATTATAGTGACCATTTGCTGAATAATCAACCAATTACATTATTATTATTATTATTTGGGAATATGAGAAGAAAATGTGTGATATTAATTCACATATCATCTGGACATAGAATGAGAATATGTGAATTATTCTCGTTCCTAATTATGTTAATATATGATTTTCTTTGTTTTATTATTGAGATTGTATCATTATTTCTAATATTTTATATTCTTAAGTAGCTATCATATAATTAAATTGAATTTCTCTCGCATATCTCTAAAACATACTTGGATCATTTCAATTGTCTCTCTTCCCTTTTAAAGATATCTCTGGTACATACTCCGACTATGTTCAATTACCTCTTTTGTTCTCTCAATTCTGACACCAATCAAATGGTATCTTAAAAATAAACAATAAAAAAATTCATCAATTATTTTTTCAATGTCATTCACACTAATATAAGCAAAACCAACTACTGTGTATATACATTGACATTGTATTTCATTTTTGTCCCATTAATAATGATAACCCTTCACCCCAATAATTTCTACAAAGTGACAGTTTCATCCTTATCTTTTAACTGTGATTTCGATAATTCGGATGGTGAAAGTTTTGTTTTGTTTTTTTTTTAATCCCTTCTCTTTTTATGAACTTTTTCTTTTATCACATTAATTAATTTTATAATATAAATTTATAAATTCAATGAAAGTCAAATTCTCACCTTATAGGCATTTATAAATAATGTTATAATTATAATTATAAAATTTATTTTATTGTAATCACAGCCAATATCCTAAACTAAAGCACTATCATTTTGAATTAAACTTACTTTTTGAAAATACATGTATTTGAATAATAAAACTTGTATCATTTAATATTTCATTATTTACAACCCTGTACGATAATAAATTATTCATGTTTTAACAAATAATTTACTATTTTTTATTATATTATTATATAATAATGTTTTTAGTAGTAATTTAGTAGTTAAAAATAATTTATTCGACATTTAATCATTATTTGTATTGGTAATTTATTTTAATAAGACAAAGCAGAGGCATGAAACAGAAAACAATTTTGTCTAACAACAGTAAAAAGTGGGGATGGGATTGTTACTTTTCAAACTTATTGGCACAATATTAATTTAGTAAGAAGTGAGGAATGAAAATCAAATCCCAATGATACCGTGTTTATGTTTCACATATAGTTACGGTCCCCCTGGTGTTTGTTGAGATATAAATATGATGACTGAAGCCGCGTCGATATGCTGTGGTCCTTGATAGAAACATGTGCTACATTAATTGTCTCCTACTCAAATCTGATCTTAATTTATTTATTTTAATATATACAGAAAAAAAAAAAATTCAATACATTAAAATACTAAATCCAGATATCAAAACCATAAATGTGGAGTAATAATTTTGTTAAATGGCCCAAAATGGTTAAAAATAATTAGTTTTGTTAAAATACCTAAATAACCTTAGAGGATGTTAACTGTGTACGTTGGAAAAGTCTAATTGAGAAAAGAAAATGACTTATTATATCTGTTATCGTAAAGAACTAGTTTTTGATGTTTCTGTGGGCCGAATGATATTTCGCGTATAATAAATAAATAAATAATGTTTGGGATAAGGTGTATGAGGTATGATATTATCCAGATTTGACCTGTCTTGGATCACCGCTGGTTTATGTGTTCAAATTGTTATCCAAAACCCAATCTCTATCGATCCAATCAACAGGTGACCATGAGGCTATGATTTCTTCATAAAGTTTTTGTTGTCTTTGGATAAGAACAAATAGTTCGCCCAATTTGAAAGTAATGGCATTTTTTTTTTCCACTCAATTTCTAAGAAATTGCAATTATATACTTTTCTTTTTTGTTTTTTACTCTTATTTTCTATCAAAGTGTTGCCTTTTTTTTTTTTTTTTTAAATGGCTAATGTGTTCAATCCAACTTACGCGTACCTCAATTAATCTCCTGAAATCCTAAAATTATCAGTCGGATAAGAGCTTCAATGTTTACCTTTATTAGCAATCGAGTCATTAATCCTCTGAGACCTTGAAATTACCGACGAGTAAGAGTTTCAGTGGTTACTCCCATGAGCTTCAGTAGCTACTCCTATTAGCAACTGAAAAGGAATTCGAACTCAAGACTTTTCGAGCAATACACTCAAAAGTTCATATCGAACTACTCGACTACCTAGAGATATTTGTTGCATTGTTTTCGTTGTAAGAGAGTGTTTGATTTATTTATATTTCCATATATCAATTTTATTAAAAATCTATATTATCTTCTCTATTTATCTATAATAGAAAAGTGATAGTATTTAATTCGATTACTTGTTTAATTAGAATAAGTATTTATATTTATATTTATTGTTATGATTAAGAAGATAATCTTCTTACTATTGGTATTCTTTAATTTTTTTTTTTTTTTTTTTACTTTGAATAGTAGGCTCTGTTTATTTAAGTATTCATGATAGTAAGATTTTTGGAAAATATGATAGGATTCTATTAATGT